TGTGTAGCCTGAAATAAGCCATGCTGGGACTATTTGCACCATGGATACTGACAAATGCTACAAATTAGGGCATTCTCTCACCTTCAGTCCTCAGAGAGTCATCAACTACCACACCAATGAAAAAGACCATCTCTTCTGCACTGCCCTAGTTTCATCTCTGTCATAAATCCTGTCCATTCACCTTTAGACTTATTTCTATGTTATGTTTTCTGTATCATTCTTTTCTTTGTCTATCCCCATGTCAAAACCATACTGCCTCATATTTTTTTAAAGATTATTTATTTATTTGAGAGAGAGGGAGTGAGCGAGCACAAGTGAGGTGAAGGGCAGAGGGAGAAGCAGACTCCCTGCTGAGCAGAGAGCCAGACAGGGGATTCTATCCTGGGACTCCGGGATCATGACCTGAGCCCAAGGCAGATGCTTAACCGATTGAGCCACCCAGGCGCCCACCATACTGCCTTATAAACTATAGCTTTATAGTAAGTCTTGATATCTGGTAGAGCAAGTCCTCTCACCTCCTAAGAGTATCTTGCTCATTCTTGGCTTTTTTTTTTTTAAGATTCATGAGAGAGAGAGAGCACAAGCAGGGGAAGAGGCAGAGGGAAAGATAGAAGCAGACTCTGCGCCAAGCCAGTTGCCCAACATGGGGCTCGATCCCAGGACCTGGAGACCGTGACACGAGCCGAAGGCAGATGCTCAACCATCTGAGCCACCCAGGCACCCCTCATTCTTGGCTCTTAACACTTAAGTTTTTAGAATCAGCTTACCGAGTTTTTAAAGAAAAATCTGTTGAAATCTGTCATTTACCTTTGGCCTCAGTGTTTCTTGCTTTGCAGAACTTTATTTTTAATGAAATAAAGTTTATCAACCTTTTTCTTTATAGATTCTGGGATTTATGTCATAAGATTAAAATCCAATTTAGTTTTTAAAATTCTCTAGTGCTTTATTCTATCATTTAATGATTTCCTTAATGATTAAAATCCAAAGACTTGAATCTTTGAGCCAACTGGAATTTCTATTATAATAAAGTGTGGAGGTAGGTATCCAACTTTCTTTCTTTCTTTTTCAAGATGGCTAACCTATTATCCCAGTAACAGTTATTGAACAATCCATCTTTCCCTATTGATTTTAAATGTCACCATTATCATATACAAAATTCCTGTATTTGTTTTTTTCTTGGACTGTCTCTTGTTTCATTATCTGTTTATAGTATCACTGTTCCATAGAAATATGTCAGCCACAGATGCAAGTCAAATATAATTAAAAATATCCTAGTATCCACATTAAAAAAGTAAAAAAAAAGGATATGAAATTATTTTTAATAATATATTTTATTTAATCCACTATAGTCATTGTATCTCTTCAACATGAAATCAATATATAAAAACAAATTTACATTCTTTTTCTCATATAAGGTCTTCGATATGTGGTGTGTATTTTATGCTTACAACACATCTTAGTTGGGACTAGCCATATTTCAAGTATAACTAGCAATGTGTGGTTAGTGGCTACCATATTAGACAGCTGAAGTCACTATTTTTGTTAAGCTCTGTGGCTAATTTAGTTCTACTTGTAAGGGATGGCCCTTCGAGGCTTGTTTCAGTGAGGTGTCTTCACTCATTGGTTGCAACCTCAGCATCTTCTAGCTCTGTGTGACTTTGGGATTTGTTTGGCTTACTGATAAGCAGTATTTTTGCGTTTAATATTCTTTACATATTTTGCAATTTTGGTTTGGGTTTTATCTCCGACCAACAATTGTTTCAAAGATTTTTTAAAATTCTGAGATGGTGGAGTTTTGGAGTTTTAGCTTTCAGTTTTCTGGTTCTATTATTACTTCTTAGTTACGTTGCATTATAAATAAGGTTGTCTGTGCTATACTTTTGAAAATTATTGAAGTTTTCTTGTAGCTTAGAATAGTCCCTGTGATTATACCATTAACCTTTGTAAACAAGGTGTTAATTTTTAGAGTATAAATTATTGATTGAGTAAATGTTAACAGTTTGAGCATCTGAAATAATTTAAATTTATAAAAATACAATATATATGTATGCATAAGTGTGCATGCGTGTGTGTGTGTGTGTGTGTGTTTACTTTGGGTGCTAGTGTAATGTTTCATTTTAAAAATGAGATTTAATGCCAAAAAAAATGTGAAAGTCACTAGCCTACATGACCTCAAAGGCCACCTAGAATGTGTGAAATGTGAGTATAAATTTCTGAAGACCCTAGAGTGGGTCTTCAGAGGAGAGATGATATCAAAGTGTACCTAAAGGATTCTTTTGTCTCACTTTCCATTCCTTTTCTTTTTTTTTCTCTCTACAGTATGCTAATAAAAAAAGTCTAGATTACACAGACCCAGGCCAGGTGTTACACCAATCTGTTATCAACAAGTGAGAGCACATCAAACAGTTTTTAACTGGTCTTAGGAAGAGCAAAGGTGAAATGAAAATTTAATTCTCCTGGACCTTGGTTCAAAATGCATGTTTCCATCTGCATTGTAAGGAACAAATTTTAATTAGCTTGATTCTCACTGTTTGACCATGCATTTGTAATCTTTGTTCACATTTTGGTAACGAAAATTTTGATGAAAGAAATTAGACAAATAATGGAAATCTTGTCTGAGCAGAACAAATTGCAATTATCGAAGATGTTGCAGGATGACTGGCATGCTGCAGCTGGGGAGAGAAGAAAAAAAAAATCCTTTCCCTAACATGCCCCTGTCCAGCCTGGCACAGCCTCATGCTGCACACACAGAGAGCATTTCAGAGTGGAAAGAGCTTTAGTGCCAGGCAGACCTGAGTTCAAATCCTGCCTCTGACCCTTTCTGGCTGGTCACTTAATCCCCCGATCCTCAATCATTTCGTCTGCAAACAAGATAGTAATATCCTCCTTCTAGCCTCATGAGGATTGAAAGAAATGGATTATGTGAAAATGCCTGGCACACTGAATACTTGTGAGCTTCCCAGCTTGTTTTCTATTGAGAAGAACGAAGTGGGCAGGGCTGGGGATGAGTATATACGCTGCTGCTGCTGGTGGGAAGGTTCTTCCTAGAACTTCTTCTCAGGCTCTCTGAGATAGCAAACAACCAGCACCTTGTGCAAAGCAGGCCATTCAGGACTCTGATGTGCAGTTATGAAAACCCCAAGAGTCCACACTTACCCCGTGCATTCTGTGGGACAGCTTTAAGGCCATGGAGGTCATTTAGCTAAGCACCGTGCACTAATAAGGAAATGAGTTATGAGTTTCCTAGCCAGCAACTAGGTCAAATAGCACACATGGAGGGTTGGTTTGGCAAAACATACTATTGAGGGAGCTGTGGAGAGGTGTCAGAGAAGGAGAAGAGAGAGTTCTTGGCTTTGGAGTTTGTAATTTAATGCAGAGAGCACAAATAGAGAAAATAACCATAGCTGGGTATGCTGTTCATTGTAAAGATCCAGTGGCCATACAGCCCCCCCCCTTTTTTTTTTCCCCTAAACAGTGTCAAAATCAAATATGCCCTAAGGTCCTCAGACCATGTGTCCAGGTTTGGTTCAGAAAATACAATCCTGTATCTCTATGCGTATCATTCAGGACTCATTTCTATAGCACCTGTGGTGATCCCAGAATTCTCTCCCTGTTAGGAGAGTGGATTTAGGGTTTGATAGATCTGGGCTAATTTTCTGGTTCCTCGCTGACTCTTTTATGGTCTTGGTGAAGCACCTATCCTCTGGACACCTCAGTTTCTTCACCTTTTAAACTATCACATCACAGGGTGGTTGCTGTGATATTTTAAGGATGGCTTTTAGCACAGGACCTCAGCTAGACCCTTAGGGTGGACACATAAAGGGGATCTATTTTCTTCCTTCAAGGTGGTGGTTTTCCACCTGGGGAGATTTTGTTCCCCCAAAAGACATTTGGGATGCCTGGAGGAATTTTTGGCCATCACTGTTGGGGGGCGGGCAGAGGGGGAAGGGCTTATAGGTGCTGACCACCCCACAGTGCATAGGACAGCCTTCTGCTCCGTCTCCATTACCTATGATTTTGGAATTAGATGCTGAAATGGGCCCATTAGAGGTTTTCCTCTCTCTGAAGAGAGGGAAAATGTCCTGATCCTTAATGCCATTTTTATGCTGTGTCCCTGTTGGGATGGCCTTGATGTCCTGGTTGCAGCTCGCTGGGAAAGGACATGTCTCCCATGAGGGGCAACCTGGAGGAGTGTGACATCCGTATCCATTCACTCGTCCCCAGTAAAACACTCCCCTTGTTCGCTGTAGGGAGAAGGGCCTGAGCCAAAGAGCGCAACGGAGAGGAGAGAGCCGCTCCGCTCCTGTCCCTCCCCAGCAAGGCAGGCTTTGGAGAAAGGCAGGGCTTTTATGGGGCTGCTATTAGCTTGCTTGGGGCTGACTTCGTGAGGCAGCGCACAGCCCAGCGGCTTACTGGGAACACCCCGATTGTCGGAAGGCAGGACACCAAGGAGGCGAGCGCTTGCTGGCTCCCCCAGGGCGGCGGGACGAACTGGCTGGCCGCGGAGACTGGCACCCAGGTTCAGCGGCCCCAAGCTGACAGTGGCATGGCCTTTGAGGGGACAGCTGGGCAGGGGAGGACAAGTTCGCCTTTCCCAGTCTCGGCCCTGGAGTGCATGCAAGTCGGGGAGCGCACTCCAGCTTCCTCCTGGCCGAGCCACCCCGGAATGCGCGTGGGGGCAGGCGGTCACCGCTGGATCGGCTGTGGCCGCGTAGGCGGCGGGGGAGGTGGGGCCACCACTTGCCCGGTGCTCCGGAGTCAAGATCTGATTTCCGGACCGTGCCTGCGTGCTGAGTCAAACCCGGCGGCTGGCCTGATGATTAATGATTAATCTCTGACCCCTCGGCCCCGAGCAGCGGCGCAGCAGGAGGGTGGGTAGGGGCCGGCGAATGGCAGGCAGCCAGGAAGGGGGCGGAGGGCTGCCCGGGAGGGCGCGCTGGGGGCGGGGAGAAGAAGGGCCGGTGCTAGGCTGCAGGAGTCACTCCCCGCGCGCGCGGAGATTAGAACCTCCTTCCTCCACTCTCTCCCCGCCTCACTCATACTCACACACCCCAAACTCCACCCCCAGGCACCTCCCTGGCCCCTGCTAGGTTGGGCTACTCGAGGAAGTTTCCGAAAGCACCAGGAATACTAAGTTACTTTTTCCAGGTGATTGCTTGTGAGACCGCGCTGGGCCCACCTTGGTGAGTTGCAGCCCAGAACTCTGGGCTCTGCTGGGAGGAGGAGGACGGGAAGTTGAAAAGGTCTTTGGACTTGGTGGCGTGGCTTTCATCCTCATGGCTTCACACCAGGGCCCCAGCGGTGAGTGCTCCCATATCATCGATCACACCCATGTCCCCGAGTTCGAGGTGGCCACCTGGATCAAAATCACCCTCACCTTGGTGTACCTGGCCATCTTCGTGGTGGGCATTCTGGGGAACAGTGTCACCATTTGGGTCACCCAGGTGCTGCAGAAGAAAGGCTACTTGCAGAAGGAGGTGACGGATCACATGGTGAGCCTGGCTTGCTCGGACATCTTGGTCTTCCTCATCGGCATGCCCATGCAGTTCTACAGCATCATCTGGAACCCCCTGACCATGCCCAGCCATGCCCTGTCCTGTAAGATTCATACTTTCCTCTTTGAGGCCTGCAGCTATGCCACGCTCCTGCACGTGCTGACGCTCAGCTTTGAGCGCTATGTCGCCATCTGCCACCCCTTCAGGTATAAGGCCATGTCGGGGCCCTGCCAGGTGAAGCTACTGATTGGCTTCGTCTGGGTCACCTCCACCCTGGTGGCGTTGCCTTTGCTTTTTGCCAAAGGAGTTGAGTACCCCCTGGTGAAGGTGCCCAATCACCCGGGCCTCTCCTGCAACCACTCCCGCACTCGCCACCACGAGCAACCGGAGACCTCCAACATGTCCATCTGTACCAACCTTTCCAGCCGCTGGACGGTCTTCCAGTCCAGCATCTTCAGCGCCTTCATCATCTACCTCTTGGTCCTGGTCTCCGTGGCCTTCATGTGCTGGAGCATGATGCAGGTGCTCATGAGGAGCGGCCAGGGCACGCTGGCCAGGAAGGGACAGCCGGCGCAGCTGCAGAAGTCGGAGAGCGAGGAGAGCAGGACAGCCAGGAGGCAGACCATTATCTTCCTGAGTGAGTCCTGGGTGGAGGGCAACCTGGGAGGTGGCTTCCCCCTCCCCCACCCCACCACTGCCTGTGCCCCTCCAAAGCACAAGTCTTGCCCTGAAGGTGTACACTTCCCCTTGCTGAGACTGAAGAGACACCGATCTGAACCTCTGAATGTTTCTTTTCTCTGTTTTGGGAACTTGGGTTACAGTGGAAAGAGCACTAGACCAGGAGTCAGCGTCTGGGTACATTCCAGAACAGCCGCTCTATGACTCTGGCAAGTCACAAAATATCTTGAGTAAAACGGAGTTAAATATTCTGAGAAATGTGAGGGTCAAATTAGGTAACGGGGGAGAGGTGAAAGTCCTTTGAGAAGGACCAAGTTCTGTGGAGATGAAAGGGAGCATTCTTCTCCAGCCGTCGTTGCCCTGGAGAACCTTCCTCAGGCATTTCAATTTTGTTCCCATTTTTCTCCTCCTTGGGAGAAGCGAGGCTGTCAGGAACATACACTCTCCAGGCTGCCGCTACACTCCCCCGGGAGTGACCTACCCAAGTCCTAAGAAACTGGAGCTCTCAGACACGCACTCCTCAGGGTAGAGCTTGAGTTTCTGCTGCAGTGGTTCTGTTCCTTATCAGAACAGAGAAACATGGCAGGGACTGCCGGCCTGTTTGTCTGATCCAGAAAATCTGGTGTCCCAGATTCCTGGGACTTGATTGATCATCCAGAATACTCAATTCTATGCAGACAAAGCTGTTTGTTTTCCAAACTTTCATTGTGGTGCAAATATTTAAAGTTGGGGCCCTTCTATGTGTCAGGGAGGAAGGAGCCCACAGTCCACAGGGCCCTTTCCATTGTGGCATCAGGAAAAGGAATAAATCACGTTGCTGTTTGTTTTGGTGTGGGAAACCTGAGTAACAGGTTTCAGGGCCAGGGGGTTGACATGAGAGAAAATTTGAAGGCCCTTGAAGAGGGATGGAAAGAACCTGGTCCTGTCCCAGCCCTGCCCCTGGCTTCTGCTGTGTCCGTACAGCTGACTTGACCTTTCTGGGTCAGTGTGAAATGAGAAGAGAGAGTTTGCAATTTCTGGATGCCTACTCGGCATCAGGGGCTGTGCTAGGTGGTTTATATTTCCATTTTATAGAGGAGGAATTTGAGGCTTAGAGGCGAGAAGATCTAGTTCAAATAAGTACAGCTCCCACATTTTGACCTCAATTCTCAGGGCCAGGCGATGAGAGGCTCCCGGTGGCTCGCACAGGCTCATGTTGAAGGGAAAATGAAACAAAACGGGACTTTGACAAGGAAAGTGCTACCTCGATTAGGCTGGTGGTGTTGCTGTGTCCTAGGGCCAGTTTTTGTGGAAGTTGGAGTAAGGAGTCTGTAGCAGGTGTCGACATCTGGGGGACTTGGGAAGGGCACCCAACCCACGCCCTGCTGCCCAGAGTAGTCCAGGAAGGAGTGGAGAGTAGATTGGCTTGAACATTCATTGAAAAGCTAGTTCCCTCTTCCCCTCCATATACGCTTAGGCATATCTTAAACTTTTAGCAGTGATTGATGTTAGTGTGAATGAATCCCTCCTCCCTCCCCCTGCCCTTTTTTTTTTTTTTTTTGAGTACAGTGTACTCTCTCCCACTCTAATTTAGTAATTAAGGTTTCATTTGACTAAGGAAAAATAATTGATTTACCTTTGTTCTCTGTAGGACCAATCTCTGTAGTTTTTTAATTATTATTATCATTGTTTCTCTGGATAGTGGGTATTTTTTTTTTTTTTTTTTTTTTTTTCCCCCCGTGGGTATTGTTCCAGGTCGCAGTCAGTCTTCATTTTGTAGCATCAAATTGGAATGCCACAGACTTTTACTTAGAGATGAATAGGACCTTGGGGATCATCTCATCCAGTTAGCAATTGCCTGGAATGAGTTTGTTCTCCCTGCTGCTCTCATTCTTTCCTTTTAGTTCTCTCCTTCTTTCTTATAACAACTATGTATTAATCGCCCAGGCATAAAAAAATTGTTGACTGGCAATCAGGTGCTCAATGTGCTATAATGTCTTGGGGGAATTTACCATTTGTATTTTAGCTCATTTCCTCTGCAGTGGGTTTTCAAAGCAGTTCTTGCAAATGTCCCCCTCTCCCAATGAATTTCAAAGAGCTTTTAAAAATAGGAACCTCACTAATTAACTCAAGTTAGGAAATAAATTAATGGAGTGAAGAGGAAGAAATCATGGCCTACCTCCATCAGATTAATACAATGCAATTTACTTGCTGGGTTTCATAAAACTTGGGCTTTGGGGCATTTTTAACCCAGAACAACTGAATATATAAGTTGTTTACAAATCACTGAATTTAGTATAGTGGTTTAGCTGTCTTTTTAGCATTTCAGTTAACAGATGTATCAAATTAAAACAAATATTTGCTCCTTTCAAACATATTTTGCATTTAATGTGAAATGTAAATGACGACATAGCACAAGATGTCTTTGGAGCTCTTGAGGCAATAAAAAAACAATTAAGGATTTTCCCCCCTCATTGTTAAAAATGCTAACTTCTGCACAACAGAAGCAAAATTCATAAATCTACCCAAGATGAGGGAGTCTCTGTAGAAAATATTAATTTTCCTTTCTGCATCTTTTGCTATTGTGCCTCAGTCTGGTCAAGGTGCTGGGCTGGGTGGATCGTGAAAACAAATTGGGAAATCAGGGAGAGAAAGAGAGGCGGGGACGCCTCCTGGCTCTCAAGCAGTTTGCAGGAAAAACAACAATAATGTAAAAGTGCACATTCTGGGAAACGTGAGTGTCTCTTGCCTCTCATCAGCTCAGTGAGAAACTGGTACCAGGCTTATTTCCTTTTGCAAGGTTACGGCTAATATGGCCCCGGTAATACTTGCCTGATGCCAAATAGAGGAACCGCTGCATTTGGCTCTTTATTCCTTGGATGTTAAGGATATGCAACATGAGCCTTCCTTTCCAGAGGTTTTCCCAGACCTTCCTTTTATCTTTCTGACCCTCACTTGGAGTTATTCACATTTCATGTGGCATCTGGGTCCTTGGACTCCCAGGTTTGTGTCTGTTGCATACCTGACCTGCTGTCAAACGTCACCCTACTCAAAGTGGAACAACGGAGAAGTTTAAAAGAAGTGTAGTTATATATATATTTTTTAAGATTTTATTTATTTGTCAGAAAGAGAGAGAGCACAAGCAGGGGGAGCAGCAGGCAGAGGGAGAAGTAGGCTCTCTGCTGAGCAAGGAGCCAGATGCGGGACTCCATCCCAGGATACTGGGATCATGACCCGAGCTGAAGGCAGATGCTCCACCAACCGAGCCACCCAGGTATCCCTAAATTACTTTTTTTTTAAATTTTATTTTATTATGTTATGTTAATCACCATACATTCCATCATTAGTTTTTGATGTAGTGATCCATGATTCATTGTTTGCGTATAATACCCAGTGCTCCATTCAATACGTGCCCTCCTTAATACCCATCACCAGCCTAACCCATCCCCCTCTCCCCTCTAGAACCCCCAGTTTGTTTCTCAGAGTCCATAGTCTCTCATGGTTTGTCTCCCCCTCCGATTTCCCCCCCTTCATTTTTTCCTTCCTACTATC